CTTTTTTTTTAATAAAAAAAAAAAAAAAGGTGTAACTGAAGAAGAGAAAGCGCTCTTTTGGCAGGTGGACTACAGAAACCGGGTGCAGGAAGGAGGTGGCAAGTGAGCGGGTTCTTTTAAATGGGTAGTTGTCCATCAGGGGAGATATGGGGAAGGCCGGGACAGAAGCATGAAATACTAAATGACAGAGGAACTGGAAAAAGTTAAGTCACGGCCCCTTCACAACCCCTCCCTCTGGTGAGTTTGTGGAAGGTTAAGTGTCCAGGCGGTGGTAAAGAACCCTGGGCCCCAACAGGAGGTTGGAAAGGGAGTTGGGCCCGTCGTTCCTGAAACGTCCCGGCAGAGGGCGCCGCTGACACGCACTTCTGGGGCGCTGGGGCGGGGCGTCCTCCAGGCCGGGGGCGGGGCCACGCGCTCACGTGACCTTTGCTCATGGCTGCGGCGGCGCTGGCGGCTCTCGGTGGCTGCAGCCAGATCCTGTGAGCCGGGCCGCGTCAGTCCTTCCCTCCTTCGGCCCCCTCTCTCGTCTTCCGGAGTGTGGCTGGCGGAGCTGGGATGGCGGAGCGAGGCCTGGAGCCGTCGTCGGCCGTGGTGGCGGCGCTGCCGCCTGAAGTGCGGGCGCAGCTGGCGGAGCTGGAGCTGGAGCTGTCGGAGGGTAGGCGCGGCGGGGCGGGCCGGGCGGGTGCCCGCCTGCAGGGCCCAGAGACCAGGGCGGGCTCGGGGAGGGTTCGGGGCCGCGGTGCGGGCGGCCGGCCGGCCTGGCGGCTCGTTGCTGGCTTGTCCCCACCCCGCCGAGCGTCGCCCGTGGCTCATTGTTGTCCCTCGGAGGGGCCCGGGAGACTCTGGGACAGGTTGGCCCGGGCCTTGTGCTCCCTCCCCCGACCCCCAGCCCCGAGACAAAGCTGCCCGGGCGACTCTGCCCCCCGTGTCCAGGCGCAGGCACTCGCAGGTCTGCTCGGCCCTCGGAAGGGCACCGCACTCTGTACCCCCTCCTCTCCTCCCTTGTGAAAGACACTGGGCACTGCCGCTGCGGCTTTCCCCTCTAACAGTGCGAAGTCCCTCGTCGGTGACAGGCGTGAGAACAGAGCAGGGGGGTCCTGGACAGTCCTAGTGAGGTGGGAAACGGGGGCATTAATCAGAGGGCCCTCCCCGGTGCTGCCTTTAGGCCACCTTTGTCATCGGGGTCATCTGGGCTTTTTCTTGGCAGCTGTATTCAGGCTGTGTTTTCCTCCTGTGGTCACCTTTGTAGTCTTTGAAGACAGAGAGGTGGCCACCGGTGACATGCAAATTCTGGCCGGCACCCTCTTTCGACGATGGATTGGTACAGGGAGGGTTGGGTTTATTTAGAGAATTTCAAACATGGAATAAATCAAGCCACTATTATTAAAGTCCCTCAGACAACAATGAGCAGTGCTCCCTCGTTGGAGGCATGTGATCAGCAGAATGTGCAGTTGTGATCAGTTCTCTGTAAAGTTCCTGTTTTTATCGCAGGCGGCCTCGGACAAAAGCAGCATTTTCTCGTAGCTTGCTGTCAGTACTTTGCCGTTGTCTCCAGAGTTGCACATTGTTAAATTCCTGGCCAGCAGGCCCTCTTCTCCAGCATTTTTCAAGTGGATTAAAAACTGTTGATTGGAAAAGAGGAATGTGACCGAGTTCCCAGGAGAGTTATGATTTTTGTGTACTTTATCAAGATTATGGGTTTTTTCTCCCTTCATTTGAAAGTCCTTTACAACAGAAAACCAGAAGTGGGTTTGAGTGTTATGAATCTATTCAGACATTGAAGGAAATAATTAATTTTAATAACCCTTTTAGACTTTTTCAGTGTATAGGGTGGTGCTGTTTTCACCTGCTCTTAATTACCAGCATATTATTTTTCAATTAATCGTTTAGGAAGCGTTTAGGAAGATAGGAATCCTTTGGGCTTGTTGCCTACTGACAATACCTTTGGCTGAAATAGTCACAGGGCAAGGACTCCGTTGAAGTAGTTTGTTAACATGTGAGTTTCTCAAGTTTTTCTTTTTCTTCTTTAAACAGACCCTTTTCAGGTACCTCATCTTTTAGTGAAAGCATTGTCATTAAATCTGATTAGTTCCATTTGAATCTCTCTCTCTCTTTTTTTGGGGGGGTCTTCTTGAGACAGGGTCTTCCTGTAGTCAGCTGGTCTAGATTCACTATGGAGGCCAGGCTGGCCTTGAACTCGCAGGCCTGCCTCTGCCTCCCCAGTGCTGGGACTAAACACCATGCCCAGCTCCATTCAAATCTCTTAAAACAGTTATTTTTGTAGTAACAGATTGACTAGTGTTCATTAGTCAGCAAGACACTTCCCTGGATGTGTGCATCAGAGGGAGATTAAAAATAGGAGCTGGTTGCTTTCTCAGGCACAGGAAAATCCTGGGAGTGCAAGATTCATTCTCTGTGTGAATCTCCTTTCAGCTGATAATTGTTTATAGCTCCAGGTTTCTAGACAGTGTTAGAAAACTATTCTGAGGAACTATTTCTGGGATCCTCAGAAAGATGTGAAACTTAGAAACGTGAATATCATGGTCAAACATTGTAAGGGCATGGGAGTGGTTTATTTTCATACGTAAGACAAGTTTTGATTGGCACATGACTTGGTTTAAATTTATTTCTTATGGATTTGTACTGCATTATCCTGAATTTTATTTCTTTAACAGTTGAGAAACCTTGAGCTTGCAATGTCAGCATATTGGCCATCTGTCTGTCTTTCTTGCTTCAAGTACACAGATGGTTGACTGGAGAGGTAGGAAGGTGTTACTAGGAATTCAAAGGAACCTAAATTAACTCAAGAGCCCCTGAATCTGTGGTGGTGTTGGCGACATCTGCAGCATATTTTGAACTAACCTTTGCTTGTTTTACGTTTACTCTATAATCACAGCTCTGACAAAAGTACTTTGCTTTTAAAAAAAAAGAAGAAGAAGCCTGTAACTGTGTTCATTATGGCTTGCTGGCATTGGTCCACTCAGTTCTCTATTGATGTTTTTCTTAGGTTCAGGCTGTAGTTGGTCCTAATGATGGGGGCAGTCTGAGCCAGGGACTGTTAAAGACTTTTCTTTGTGTGCCTATTTTCTGCTGCAGGCTTTGCTCATGTATCAGTCCACTCTGCTGAAGTGCAGGTTGGTGTCTCCTTTGGGCTCTCTGCCGCAGAGTGCGATGTGGAGTCTTGTGACATCTAGTGCTCCAGGCAGGCCACTGTGGACTTGGGTAGTTAAAACCTGCTTCTGCACCAGTTGGCTAGAGAACCATTTAGAATTTGAATTTACATGAAATTTTCCATGGATGAGTTGATAGGTTTTTTTCACATACTCCCTGTTTTAATATTTTTTCAAGATCTACATACGTATTTGAGAGTAAGCTCTGTTTGAACTTTATTCCTATGGTCTAGTTATGGATATAATGTAAAATAGAACTAATGGTGAGAATTGTTTGTTTAAATCTGTCTAGTAATCTATTTGTGTCACGATTGTTTTACACACTATCATTTAGAGATCAGTAAACTTCTGATTAGGTAAAATAAATATAAGCACTCCCCCACCCTTGTTTAACAGAAGGAAAATTTGGACTGAAAAAGGTTAAGTGTGTTGTTTAAAGTTACACATCTAATAAGTGCCATTATCGCATGCTGGGATGTAATTATGAGATCTGAATGATTTAAATATCTGAGCTGTGATTGCACAAGGTATCAAGTTTTTTTTTTTTTTTTGGTCTTTTTGAGACAGGGTCTCCCTGTAGCCCCAGCTGTCCTAGAATTCACTATGTAGACCAGGCTGGCCTTGAACTCCCGTCTCTGCCTCCTGAGTGCTGGGACTAAAAGTGTGCGCCCCCACACCCGGCAAGTGTTTTTTTTTAACCTTGAGGAAACACTGCTTTCAGTCGTATAATGTAATTTGATATAGTCCTCTTGATTCTCTCACATTCATCATGTCTGCAGATATTTCAGATGACATTTTGTGTCTACTCTGCAAAGGATACCGAGGTGATCAGGATACTGTGCCAGTTTTCCTGGAGCTCTGAGCCTATTGGGGGGGTGCTCATCACTTAAAAATGTCAACAGAGCAGTGCGTAAGACCTTGATAGAGGCTGCCTTCTAAGAAAAGAGGAAACTGCCTTGCCTGTGTGCAAAAGCAGCAGAGAACTATAAATACAAGATTGTATTGTGTGGTTAGTAGCAAGGCTGTGATTTAGCCTGGGCAGCTCAGACATTGTGTAAAGGGAAGAAGAATGTTAATCCTGTGCTTCTGTTACACATTGGAAGGTAATCAAGTCTTTCAGTGTCTGAGAACAGCCCAAAGATGACAACTAGAAAGGTATTTAAGATAAAATAACACTTACCGGAAGGGATCCTCCCTTTTCTTGTTTGAACACTTCTCTGGGCAGAATCAACAGTCACATCCTCCATCTCTACATGTTTCATCCCTTGTCTCCAAGGTCCTTCAACTGGCACAGTGTCCACCTTGGAGATGGAAGGATAAAAGTTCCTTCTTTGGAGCTGTGCTGAATTCTCTTTTGGAGTTGGGGGAGATGTACGAGAGTTAGAAAGGAAAAGAAAGGATGCTAGATAGTTTTATTTTACTCTGGGAAACGGATGAGTAGATTTAAGTCACCAGAAAACTTGTAAGTCCCTCTGCAGTACCTGTGATGGATTACTTTCCTCTAGATATGCAGCTTCTTTTAGATTCAGAGGATCCAGTACATCACAGTTATTCTACATAATTGTAATGCCTGATGCTAATAATTTTAAGGAAATCTGGAATGTAGACTTTTTTTTAACTCTTTTTTTTTT